ACCAAACACAAGTTACAACGTGTTCTTGAGATTCTTTGAAAGCCAGGTAGCTAACTAAACGAATGTGATAACATGCATGTATGTATAAATAATATATTTGTTTTCATTGTATCACGGAGTTAACTACATGTTTTTCGTCTAGAATTCCTACTACTCCACAGGGTGGAGCGAAAGTGTAAAGACGAAGGTAACCCCAGGTGAAAAATTATGAATACACAAGTTTGTTGAAATAATTCATTGCAGCTGTAAGTTTACGTGTATAATTCTAAACGCTTTAAAGAGGCCTTGATTTCGAGTGGAATTATACATTCTTCAAATTCAAGCCAGGAACAGTGGAAGGAAAAATGAGTCAACTATACATTGGTCCTCCGGCAGGAATCGACAGATACTTAGCTTAATTCACAGCCTTAAAACTATTGGATTTGGTTCACTATTTGATTCACTAATGTGTTTTTCGTTCAAAAAAGGACCCAGTGGACCTCCACTGGATGTTTCTTTGAAATCGCGTGGTAAATACACATTGGAAGTATCGTGGGAGGCTCCTGAAGAAAGTTCAAGAACTGGAGAATTGATTGGATATCAAGTTTGCTTTTATACCAACGAGACTCTTTTAGAATGCTTTGTGCTGGAAAACACGAATGTGCTTGCACTTACTCTGAAGAAGCTTCAGCCTTCTACGAAGTACTTTGTGACGGTTGCAGCGAGCACAAAAGCTGGTTACGGAGAGAAAAGCTCGGTAGTCAGTAAGATAACCAATGGAGGTAAGAAAGACTGCAGTATATAGTTCACATGCATTATCACCAAGCAAGTTTTAGTATAATTTAACTTAAATGCATATATACTTTGAATCTATTATTCATGCTACTATTTTATTGTTTCTAGAGCCGTTGAATCCTCTCTCAACTTCCTATTACACTCTCACGTTAAACATCCCCAAAGCAGCAAACTATATTCGGTAGGTATTTTATGAAACTTGCAAAATGTATGTTCAGAATTACATGTACAGGCGTCGGGTCAACGTCCATTGAAAGCAAGCAATAATAAATAAATAAACTGTATATGATGTGTTTGGCATTTGAGTCTGACAGAACCAGAAAGCTATATATCCTGTTGACACATACAGCAACCCGTTTGAAGCTTATCATTTGTACAACTCTAGGATCCTTGTAATGAATAATAATTTTATACCTTAATTATGACCAAATATTTTCCATAAATTTAGGCAAGTGATGGTGATCGTTCAAAAAGCCGCCAGCAGTTCACTACAAAGCGAAAATATTGAAACAAGTAAACTCAAGGCATATCAGACGAACACCCAAGATCCTTATGTTACTGCTTTTTTAAAAACTGATGATCTTCCTTTGATGTTTGTGATCGGCGATGGCAAAGAATATAATTTTGAAACAGAAAAATACTTTAACCAACCTTTGACAACCAATTCGAGTTATATCGTGTTTTTGAGATATTTTGAGAGTCAGGTAAATGAGTAAGAAAATAAATATGATGTTAATGATTTGAAATAAGGTGTTTCAAAATAATTATTGAATCACTAAAATGTGTACATGTATGTACATATTTGCCCAAGTAATTACACGCAGATCTAGAATTTGTGCTAAATAATAGACCCTTTGCATGTTAGACTACTTTTTGATCTGTGCAAAATAATCCAATCAAATCACCACAGCTGAAAAGAGCGTACCAAAATTAGTAAAAATGCAAAGTTTGGTTGCGAAATGTCGTAAAATACGGAAAATATAGCCTTGCAAATTTGTATAATTTTGTTTAACGCAGGCAAAAATTAAGTTACCGTTTTGGGCCCGAATGTGGTAACATTTTTCGTGCGTAAAAAAAAGTATACAAATTTGCAAACTTTGCAAGGCCATATTTCCCGTATTTTACGACATTTCGCAACCAAACTTTGCATTTTTGCTAATTTTGGTACGCTCTTTTCAGCTGTGGTGATTTGATTGGATTATTTTGCACAGATCAAAAAGTAGTCTAACATGCAAAGGGTCTAGTGCTTTCCAGAATAAATATTCCGGTGAATGATTTTAATACTTCTGTTAAGGATTCGTACTACTCGACGGAGTGGAGCAGCAGTTTTAAAACTCTAGCCAAAGCACCTGCAGGTAAATATCTTCTATTTATTACTTTATTTATCTTCTGTTATTTCATTAATTTCCAGTTATACTTTTGTTTCATTGTTCTCTGCACCGCAGACTAACGTGCGAGCCAGATAAAGATTGTTAAATAATTTTTGTAGTTTGTTTGAAATGTAACATTTCTAAACAATCAGCCGAAGACAAAACACACATGGGTTTTCTTATACCGCTGATTATTCTGGCTTTATGTTTTCTGGTTTCACTTGGTGTTATTGTGTACCAACGTCGTCTTCTTCAAAGTAAAGATGTGAATCATGGTAAGTTTAAAGTTCACGAAGTGTGAACTAAGTTGCCATTTGCTTGGTTACTTCAGCATAATGATTGAGTTTAGAGATGAAGAAAAAAAGATTTGTTTGTTACCATGCAGGGAAATATGAAATAAGGAAAGTTTGGTAAAGAAAAGTTTGCGGAAAAAAATTCACTAGTTGTCATATCATTCGTAGCTACTTTTTAACACTTCCCTATACTCGTGCATCATTATAGGCAATGGAAAAGTAATAGGGGGTTATAGATGGAGTATAAACGTGTAAAACTTAAGAAAAACTTTTTGTATAAATCATTGCTAAATTCTCATGTAACTTCATAGATTTTATTTCAAAAGATCCGAGAACAAACAAAAGAGCAAAGTATGATCAAAGAACTCAAAATGATGAGGCTGTTTACGAGACTCCAGATGATGTTATCGAAGAAATTGGGCGAAATGAGGGTACACGTTCACGTGGAACAGAAAAACAACAAGAATCATCGAACTACATGTCGTTACAAGACAAAAAAGAACCAGCAAACGTTTATCAGGCATTGCAACCCTCCGTCACCATTGATAATCAACGTCATACTAATGGGGCTGGTCAGTCAGTGGAATATCAAAATCCTGCTTTCAATGCAGATTTCAGTGGTGAATAGTTATGCGTGGAGAACAAACTCGTCAAAAGAAAGTCTGAAATTGATAATTTGATCTGGCGTAATATAAATTTTAAAATTCTTTCTTGACTAATTTGAAGTTGCAAAAAATTGTTTTGAAGGTCGACACGCCTCCATCTTTATTGTAAATTGGAATTGAAATAACTAAAAAATTTAAAAATCCTATACACGAACCTGCTCAGGAATTTATCACACGCTTCGTTTGATGTCGGGTAGCCAGGATCATTCATGTAAACAGACCCATAGGGAGAAATTGCCGCATTTTTGTTGTGCGGATGGTTTCAATGAATAATTAACAATCCGTAACAAAGAAACAAGCTATATATTGTCATGCTAAATGTCTTTGCTTTGAAAACGCCTGAAAGTTGAATTAACCCAAATTTAGGATCGTCGGTAAAGTCATGACATGCGGAAGTTCAAGGAGCATTAGTGATTTATCATCTTTCGTCTAAACTCAAATCGCTCGGTAAGATGTCTTGGTTATTTCATCGATGGTTAGTTTTATGTGGTGTGTCATTGCTGGTGATAAAAGGTGAGAATTGCCTATTATAGATATACCTGTCTAGCGTTGCTTTGATTCGATGTGAAACATATAAATACAAGACTGCATGTTTAGTTGTTAAAACATCAGGGTGAACCATGCACAGCTTGCTTGTTTAAATATTTGAAATTTGACTGAGTGGTTTTCAAGAACTGACTTGGGATGATAAGTTTATTTTTATACAAAGCTATACAAGTCAAATATTAGTTTGTAAACCTTGAAATGAATTACGTCAGCTTATTTATTAAGTCATTTATTATAGTGGGGCATTTCAATAAAGTCACACAATAGAGCGATTTATACGTGGCAAAATAAGTCTCGACTTATTTTTCCTCGTGTAAATGGCACTAATGATTCTGGGATGTTAGAATATCAAGACAAACAGAGGCATGCATGTGTCCTTAAAAACCACTCGACTTAAGGGCTGTTTACATGAGCCCGGTTACCCGAGATTCAACGAAGCGTGAGAGGGCTTTGAGGTATTGAAATAAGTCTTTACCACACCAAACAAGCACATGCTATCATTGTGGTGATTATACGACTGCTAGGATCTGCTCATTTCAATATCTCAAAATCATCTCACGCTTCGTTGAATCTCGGGTAACCGGGCTCATGTAAACAGCCCTTATTGAACGAGTTTAATTAATACAGTCGGTGTCGGGACTCCGTGATGTCGTTCAACGCTACAATTGATCGATGAAATACTGTAGGATTAATCATGGATGAAATACAATATGAAATATTCAGTTTCTCTCGGTTGCGCTCGAATGAATGTGACGACTTTACATAATATTGAGTCGTCCAACGATTTAATTTTTACGTAGCAAGAAATAGGAGATACTTTACTTAGCGAATATTATTTTCCACCTGAGTATCACTATAGCTTGATATAACCAAATAATCATCAAATCATGTGTTAGGATCGAAAACGAGCCACTGTACACGCATGAAATTCATGTATTTGATGGAAAAGCCGTGGGTTGAAGATGATCAATCACATACCGGTATATAACCTGGTATATGTTTATCAGTATTCATGCCCCAAAGGGCAGCAGCTGCCACTGACCTTAGATGTTCCTGCATGTAGAACGAGCGAGGACTTCTGCCACCCGCTATATATAGCAATAGCATAGTTATATATTCTTGTTATAAGATGTAGTTATTATGCGGGCATTAAAACGTAGTGATCTATTGATAAAAATATGTTCTCCTGCATATGTGCCTATATGGGAATATAAGCTTCCTCTCCCACACGAAAAATGAAATTAAGACCCGCCGCCCTGAGCTGTTAAGGTGACCATGACTCATTTTATGTTCGCAGGTTGCCGCTGTTTTTTTCTCAGACACACTAGTTCTGGAAAGTGTATTGCAGCTGCAAAGGTCTCTTATAACAGTAATACTTATGGACATCGATATTGGGCTGTGCTGTCTGATTGCTTGAATGTTAATGCGCAACTACAATATTGGCCAAATTCAGAAGCGGTGCATAGCATGGCGAGAAAGGGGTCGCTTGTGTTTCTCGATGGTAGTAAATACAAACAACGCTTGGTCATTTTTGACGCCACAAAGAAGCCAAATTTTGAACGTGATGCTCAACATAGCATGAAACAAAGAGATGCTGGACCTTTATTTTTTTACAATAGCAAGACTGACTCGTGTGCTCAACCTGATGCCAATCAGAAATATATCATGCGGAAAAATGATGGATGCGACGACACAGAAGAACAACAAAAGTTCACATTCGGTAAGATTCCACATCTCGATAACGAAATGGTTTCAACCAAGATGACGTCTTTTCATATCCTAAAATAGACAAATGCTGGATTTATATACGGACGATATTCTCACAAATTAATCTGTTCATTTCATAGGATACATGAAATTTTTTTTCCAAAAATGCAAAAAATTAAATTGTGCCGCCACATGTCCATGTCCCATCACGGCCCATGAGGCCTTGCAGAGAAGGGTCTGGGGCAAACTAACCGCCTTGTCCCACTCCATGAAGCAGGGGTCGTCATGGTTGAGTATCTTCATTCTATGTTAGGTTCAGTGACGCCGTTTGGTGACAAAATGAAAGATGTTCATTGTTCTCCAATACAACGTATGGTGATCCACAAAGCTCATTATGGTGATTTCAATAATAGCGGAATATTTAATGCCAATACAGCTATTGATGCGCAGTGTAGTGGACAAGCAAGTTGTGAGGTAAAATCTCTTTGTGGTGGAAAAAGATCTTGCGAACTAACCGTTGACAATAATTTACTGTCATCACATTATTGTTCTGACACAACGAAAGAACTTTTTATCGAGTACACTTGTGTGGATAACTACTATATTAACCCCATAATAACAGGTAATAATGCACCTGATATTTGTAAGTAATAAAACATGCACTTCGAGTTTATTACAAAAACTTTAATCTCGTTGTCTTAACTAGTACTTATATAAAGAATGCTGCATGAGTATAAACTTTTCCAGGTATAATTTTATGCACCACACGGGCAACATCGTGGTCAATATAGTTTGTCAATCAATACACGTAATTTTCTGTAATTTTCCAACAAGTCCCATGTGGAGCTCCTGGGCTAATTGAGGTTTAATCGTAAAAGGTATTCGTTTTGAACAGAGCGTCATTATACCTCATCTCCATACCATTCCTATCTCCACCCGTAATTATATACTTTTATGCTCACATACACTCACACAATCTATGACTACCTTGCATGTTTAAAGTATGCCATGATAAAATAAACCTTGTTGCGTAAATCTTTCCTGGGAATGTGGTTGCAATACGAGCATTGCTCATTTGGCATTTGATAATGACAGTGCCTCTTTTTCAGCTATAGTTTTCTTGTACTGATAGGTCCAAACGGGACTCAATAAATTGATGGTCTCGACAACAAATTGCATTGCAGTACATTCCAGATGTCATTTGTCATGTTTTCGTTCTAGTGACAAACATAAGACTATCAAAGTCACCCAACGAAGGTTTCATTGAAGTGAAGAATGACACAACGTGGAGAAAGGTTATTGAGGAGAATTGGGATAAAAATCGTCAAAAAATTCTGTGTGAACACCTGGGATTTAGCGAAACGAGCGCTAATACTATTAGAAACATGGAGATAGCTGCAAATGAAGAAATTGCATCTGGAGATTTGGTTTGTAATAATAACACAGGATCAAGTGGAACATCCTGTTGTGTCGATCTTGTTCCCTCTACAACGTTTTTAAATGTTAATATATCATATGCTGAGTGTGAGTATATACTTAAAGCTCTTCCACTCATCGCAAAATCAAACTCGCAAACTCGCTGCGAGTGTTTGAATCAAAATAATTAAATTGTCAAGCATTGTGATTGTCAAGCACGAAATTACACGCAGCTGGCTTGCGGGGTTTTTTTTGCGACGAGTGAGTGTAAGCCTTTAGAACTTTGGGTTTGTAGAGGTTGCGGGTATTTTCTTTAACACTCAGGTAGTAGTTTGGTTAAAATAATTTGTCTTAATGTCTTACGTTATTTCCCCTCTAGATAAGATATGCGATAAACCAGCGTTACTCCAAGACGAAAGTACTTTTGCTGACTCTGTGTTTTCTGGTAGTGGCTCTTCTGGTTATAGCAATGCAAGATTCACCAAAGATGGTTGGTGTACCCAGACACCACAAACACATTATCTTTTGATTGATCTTTTGAAAGACTATCACATCACACGAGTCGTGACAATGGGTAACAAAGATCAGACAAAGTGGAGTAATCAATACACAATGACATACAGTCATGATGACAGTTTTAGCAATAGCAGACAGGTATTTACAATTATTGGTATATCCATGATTATTTGTCGCTTTATAATTATTGTATGTTGTCATATGTATCTATAATCCTAATAATAATCCTAAATTCCCGGATTAAGAAGGTCACACTAATCCCTGTCTTAAGAACCTTAAGAGTGTTGTCGATCAATTGACCATTCCTATCTCAATCCATAATCCTGAAAACCTCAACAACATTAAGACAGACACTTTAATCCAGTTTAGTTAGTACTGAGGAAATTATTTTGTTCAACTATACTCATATTATGATAATCATAATCATATTCACACGATATTCGTGTATTATACATTTTTTATATTTTGTATTCTCAGGTGATCATCGGAAACCAAAACGGCTATCAAGCTTCGAGAACGGCTCTCAATATTTACAACGTGAGACATATCAAAATACAATCAACTGGAACAAATGATTTTTGTCTGAGAATAGAACTCTGTGGAGAAGGTAAACAAAAACATACGGGAAAGAGTGAATATACTGGTTGCTTACTAACCTTTGCATTGTTTCATTTTAGTCCAAATGCCTGCTCCTGTACAGGATATTAAAGTTACACCTTCGAATACCTCGGCAGATGTCACATGGAAGATACCAGAACCTAAAGACTCGAGTTACATAACGAACTACAATATTTTCATCAACGGAAAACTTCAACACAGAATATCCAGAGAGAAATATGACAATAAATTTACTATTCGTGGACTTAAACCATACACTGACTATAAAGTTGAGATTGAGACAGAAGATGGTTCAGGAGAGAAAGGCGGTAAAATTTCTGAAGATTTCAAAACCAAAGAAGGAGGTAAAATATACAAAGGATGAGGATTTGAAATGACATCAAACTCCTTAATTGGGTTATACTGAATATCGATATTTTGATCCACTTCCAGGACTTTATCCGTATCAATAATTTCTATTTCTCCTCAATCCAGTTCCTAGTGGTCCTCCAATGAATGTGACCTATACATTCCGAAGTAATTATTCACTAGAATTATCCTGGATGCCTCCAGAAAGTGATATACGTAATGGAATACTGACAGGCTATCAAGTTTGTTATTCTTCCCAAACCATGTCAACTAGTCCGAAATGTACTCAAACGAATACGACATTGTCTTATACTGTCGATAATCTTAAACCATCGACAAAGTATATTGTGACTGTGGCGGCTGGTACAAGTGTTGGTTTTGGCAACAAAAGTGAGAAAATCATTGAAACGACAAATGAAGGTATCAGCTTGATTACAAAGTCGTGATTTTATTTTATATTCGTGCTTGTTTGAAGCTCCTAGAAACCTTTGATTACCTATTTAAATGTTAAATTGTAGTGAACTTTCTGAAACATATCAGACTAACTCCATGTCGTTTACGATAACTAAATTATTTTTTAGATCTCATTATCAAGGCTTTCTTATTTATTGACTACCTTATGATTTGCATACATGCATTGCATGCAAATTCGAGTAATTTAAAATACAGTTGCTCACCTAAATGAATTGGTATTTATTATACTTACATAGAGCCTGTCAATCTAATCGCCTCCTCGTTTTACACTTTGACTGTAAACATACCAAAACCACCGGAATATATCAAGTAAGTTTTTGTTCGACCACTGATTTACTCCATTAGCCAATCGATCCTGCATGCTTATTGAATTCAATAAACCCTTCTCCTTTTTGAAAACATTAAAATAAAATTTTCTGTACTTTGATTCATTGTATGTATTCAGAGAGGTAACCAGAATTTCCGGGAAGGGGGGAGGCAGCATAAACGTAGGTGGGGTAATGGTATCAGTGTGACTCGAGACAAGATTCATGCTATACATTCTGGGCAAAATTTTCTGACATTAACGATGAACGGCATTTCGATGCGCAAAATCGCACACAGATTATTGCATTTTTGACGGAATAGATAGGATGCACTTCATTTTCTCAGCAGCGATCCATATATTCAGGGCCTTACGTCTCTGTTTGTATTCAATTTATTCTATTTAATAGACTGCCTTGTAGCTGGATTATACTAATATAGCTACTATATTTTATTTTTTTTGAGAAAAGTATGTATAACTGATCTTAAAGAAGATGTCATATAGCAACCTGACTTTCTCCATCATATCATTAAATTTTTTATGCTTTAGAGAAGTTATGGTCATCGTGCAAAGTTCTGCGAATGATCAAGTTTCAAGCAAAGACATTAAAACAAGTGATCTCAAAAATTTCCAGTCAAACACACGGGATCCCTACATCACTGCTTATTTGAAAGCTGATGTTTTACCCTTGATGTTCGTAATAGGAGATGGCAAAAGTTACAGATCTGAAGAAGAAAATTACCACAACCAACCTTTAACGGCAAATTCAAATTATGTCGTGTTCTTAAGGTTTTTTGAAAGTCTAGTATGTAGCTAAAAAAATATTCATATCAAAAACTTCAAACTGTTCAGTTAAAGAGCGTTGTTCATCCATGCATTAGTATCCAGAAAGTGTGATACAACGCATATATACTTTTTAGGAATCATACTACTCGACAGAATGGAGTGATAGTATTCACACAATGGGGAGACCTTCAAGTAACTGATTACCTGAGTCCTGAAATTCAAACCTTTTCATTATTTTTTGAATGATCTTATCTGTGTTCTTCGTTTCTTGATAATTTTTTGTTTACAAACTGATAAACATCTTAAATCTTTTAGATAGAAGTGGAAACCTGTCAGTTCACGAGTGTACGGAAGACAAAACCCGACTTGATCTCCTTATACCACTGAGTATTCTAGCATTGTGCCTTCTTCTCTCGTTTGGCGTAATAATACATCTATGTCGTCGTCAAAACAGCTATTCTAGCTCTGAAGGAGTTGGCCAAGCAATGGAGCTGGGTAAATAAACCATATTTTACTTTACGTGCATTTTAGAATTTATGAACGAGAAGAATTGTTGTCATTTTTCCAGCTACAAATCGAATTTCTTTCGTCTTCGCTTACCTTCTTGATATCATTTCTTTTCGTTCAAAATCATCCACAATCCTATTGCATGTACAGTTTAAATGTCTGTCTTTTAATCTGTTAGTTTCCATTTAATATTTTTATCTGTTAGATTCCATTCAAAAACCTACCAATCGGCAGACTGAAAATGCGAACGACCGTGTCCCTGTGTACGAGATTCCAGACGAAATTGAGCGAAATGAGGCTCCACACGAGACAGACAAAGGACTGGAATCATCGGATTACATGCCGTTGAATGACAACAGAGAGCCAGCAAACGTTTATCAGTCACTGCAACTGCCCGGGACCAATAATGGTCAAAGTCATCCCAAGGGGAGTGGTGAATCAATGGAATACGAAAATGTTGCCTTCAATTGAGATTTTAATTCTTACTAATATATTTACTAAAAATGCATGTATTGCTGAACACCCTGCACATATATAACACTTAAAATTCGAGTCATCAGACCATTTGCTGATTTTTTTTATTCAAGGACGTGCGAAATTAAATAATCCGCATTAACAATACACGTAAGTCATTCCTTCTTCACTTTTATTAAATATGTAAAATTTCGTCCATCAGTTTAGGGCGTGAATACCACAGGAGCTTTTTCTCCGCGAAATGCGAAATATTTCGCCTGTTTCTTTTGAATTTCGACTACTTGAATAAATTAATTCAGGCCGGCGAAATGTTTCGCATTTCGCTTGAAAAGTTTGACACGTAGAAAAAAAATGTTCACGCTGTGAGCTACACAATTAAAAGTTTTATTGTACTATTGTGCTTATTAATAACGATATGAATTTTAATTGTTTTTTTTTATACATCTGATAACCCCTGCATGTAAACCTGTAAGACGACCCGCTCGCCTTAATATAAGGTACAGAGGCATATGGAGGGAAAATGTTCTTCTGAAATCGGTAATGATAATGAAATCGAATGAGGATCGAATATCTTCATATTGACGAACGTATCCACGGTAAAGTTTTCCTTTTGTGAAGGACTTATGTACTGTACGCTATATTCTATCGCTTGCAGATAATTATGCATGGCTTTGTTGACAAAAATAGGGCAACGTGTGGAGAACAAACTCGTCAAAAGGAAGTCTGTCCTCGCAAAATTAATCATTCATTGGATCTGACATAATATACATTTTAAAACTCTTTCCTGACTAATTTGAAGTTGCAAAAAATTGTTTTCAACTTTGAAGATCGACACGCCTCCATCTTTATTGTAAAGACTTGTTTTCATGTAAAATTTGTTGTAATTCACGTGCATGTCGTAATCCTTTGTAATCATAGTTGTAATTCGTTGTTATGCAAAATCCGACATTATGAAAACCGAATTACAACAAACTACAACTGAATTATGACATGTGAATTTCGACGAATTATGAAAACCAGCCTAGCTTTACGGCGACCCGCGTGGCCAGGCGTGTGTTCTCTGATATCCGTTTGAGAACTATATGACGAGTTGTATTTTCCGCAATGCTCACGTCTCAGTCTTTTAATTGTAATCCGTTTTAATTTCCCAAATCCGTCCGTTTATTTAAATTTCAAAATATCCTTTACGCGAACCTACTTTTTTTCACATTCTAAAAGGTTAGGCTTTTAACCATCGAATGACATGTTTTTAATACCAAATGGTGAAAAAATGAGCAAATAGGAGGCTGATAAGTGATAATCAAAATCGCATATTTTCACCTCTGAGAGTTGGGACTAAAACCATGGAAAATTAACTCTCTTTGGGACTCAATTGAAGAATTTTGCTTTTGAATAAACTACCCGCATATGCATGCATATTAAGTAGGAATAAATCACATCAGGAGAACATTCCAAGCTATGCGGAATAAAGCGAGTGCAAGCTGTGACATGTTCGTGATTAATTGTTTTTTTTTCTTTTGTTATGCACTTTTTTAATTAGGCTCAAAGGTGAAATATCAGCCTCGTATGTGCTCACTTTTTCCCCATTTGGTATTAAAAACATGTCATCCGATAGTTAAAAGCCTGATCTTTCCGAATGTGAAAAAAGATCGTTCATAGACTGAATAGTTCACCTACAATAGCGTGTTGAAGTTGGATTACCTTTTTTTTGATACACCCTGTATAAGATACATAAAGTTTTATGGGTATGAAAAACGCGTAAGTGGAAAGCAGCCCTTATGAGTTTATCAAACGCTTTCCGTTTGTTTGATGTCGGATAATCAGGATCATGTCAATAGAACAATAGAGAAAGACATTGTCGTTGCATTTTTGTTTTTTGAATGATTTCAAAGAATAGTTAAGATTCCGTAACAAAACAAGCTAAGAATGGCATTGTTTATATTGTCATGTTAATAAATTAAAATTTAAGTTTTGAATAAAATTTGATTAACACACATTTAAGATGTCATTCCCGTGGGAAAATCATGAAATGCGGAAGTGTAGAGCAAGAAACTTTCGTCTAAGCTTTTACTCTCTTTGTAAAAGACAAGATGTCTTGGTTATTTCATCGATGGTTAGTTTTATGTGGTGTGTCACTGTTGGTGATTAAAGGTGAGAAGCCAAACCGTAGTAAAATATCTATAGAATTGATTCGAAATATCTAGTATGTGATCGACAATGATAACTATTTATATTTATAAGTATATTTATATATAGTGTGTACTGTAATACATACAGACTATAAATACAGTAATAGAATACGGTAGAATATAAATACAGTAATTTTCTACTGCGGAGAATTATAAAACTTCTGCCGTGCACTCTTTTTAGTACAACATAAATAATTTCCTGCCATGCACATTCGTCTAAATATCCCCGTACCGACTTTATGAACGCGTTGGTCTGACTTAGTCGTCTATACATATACTTCGTCTAAATAGTTCACATGCATGCATCAATGCAAACCACAGCTCGTTTGATTAAATATTTGAAATTTGACTAAATTGTCATCTAGAACTGACGTCTATTTGAGACGATGATGTCGGTTTGAACAAAATAATATCGATATTAAATGCATGTATCGTATAGGTATAGTTTGAGGTTGATAGAGTTACGTGATAAAGTATTACCTCTTAAGCCGGTTTTCCACCAGCGATATTTTTCGCGCGAATCGACATTTTACTTTTGTTCCAGAGCTCTCAACTGCAACCATGTGGAACATATTGCTCAAATACAAAGGAATAAAGTCGCTTCGCGCGAAAAATATCGCTAGTGGATACAGACGAGCAAGTTTTCTATTGCAAATTTTTATATGACAAGTTTTAATTTGCAATTGCACATGTTTTTGTACAACAATTTTTCTTTAAAAATTTTTTTTTGACAAGTTTTATTTTCTCGTTTGAGCGTGCCAACAAGTTTACTTTGACAATTTAGTTTGAACTGAGCCAGCGATGTAATCGTACAGCGGACAACGTGAGCGCGCCATTGCAAAATACTATACTCCGCAGGCCAACCGCATACAAGTGGTCACATTATGTGACAAGTTTTCTTTGTTGACTCGTACAGACGAGGGCGACATACAGGGTGATTAAGAACTGACAACATTGTCTGCACTTTGCATAAAATAGTTTTCAATACCGGCTCAAAACCAGTTATGCTTTTAGCCTCTACTCTCTAGGATTTGAAGATATATTTCCACTTTCCTTTTCACGACTACACAAGGTGAGTTGGAAATATCGATCACTTGTAAGAGAAAGAAGATGAAATGTGAAACAACGAACTCGATGGCTTTGGCTACTTCTGTAAATACCCATGGCTAGAAATCCCAGTATTGTGCAGTAACCCGATACCGGCTAGAATAGTTATTAAAATTAAAGTATTTTTTCATTCAGACATAAGCGGAAGTATATGACTCGTATTGAGCAATGCGTGTCAGTTAGAGAGACGCTTGTCAAAATGTCGTTGTTATTTCATCGATGGCACCTTTTCTTAGGTTTTTAGGAGGAGCTGCAGTCCACAGTATAACGTGAATGAACTGTTGAGATGCTCGCATGACAAAAATCTTTGTCCAGAGGTCGGCGCACTCTAGAGCTATGTGCTTAGCAAAAAGTCATTCGTGGCCATTGACGTAAGTCTTGCTCTCACGTGCTGGCGTGTGGTCATTCGTACCAAAAGTCGCCGGAAAAGTCGTCCACACACGAGATCAACTGGCTTACGCTAATGACCACGAATGACTTTTTGCTAAGCACGTAGGCTGACATAGCTGATAGCTCTATTGTGCGCCGGCCTTAAATCCCATGCTTGCAAAAAAGTCCAGAAATCAACAGACCGCTTTTGCTTCTTTGGTCATGTGAATGTTTGGAATCCTGACGCCTGCAATGCTTTGATCAATCTTCAGCATAGACGTTGTCAGTAGCGCCTAAAATCATGGAATGCATGGCATATAAATAAACGGAGGAATTTGGAACCTTCCTTATCTAAATCGTACAACGTCAATGTTTAGAACAGACAACTAGACCTAACCAATAAAACCTAACATAACCAAAGATATATATGCTTTTTCATCGTTTCATTGTGAAGAAAATCTGTTGTCAATATATATCAGACATATTATGCCAATGTATACGCCATCCGTTAGCGGGCGGGTAAAAACCCCTGGTAAAAATCCCTGGTAAAAACCCCTGGTAAAAACCCCGTAGAGATGAGAACATGTACCATTACTGGCGTTCAACTACTGCGCTGTCTAATTCAGGATTACTTCATGTCTTTCATATTCCAGGGCACATATATACAGTATTAAGTTAATCCATTTCTAGGCATTGTTTTTCGCTTCTAGATCACCTCGAGTGTATTTCATGCACTTCAATACTTTGCAAATTTTCTTGTATTTATTGCTTCTGAAAGAGGATGAAAATTACTCCGGTACATTCAACTACTGCACTGTTTATTTCACGATTCATTTTTTGTTGCAGATTCCTGCGAATTTTTTCTCAGGCAGACTGAAACCTCAGAGTGTATTGCACCTGAAGATAGTTATCTTGGGTTTATTAAATATGCGAAACGTTATTGGGTTAGAATGGTTGACAACTGCTTGAAGAGTAGTGCACAGTTCCGTTATATTAACAAGACAGAATTGATACACAATATCGACAAGAGAGGTTCGCTTATATGTATACCAGGGGATAGAACATATGGTGACAAACTGCTCGTTTATGATGGGGTTAGCGCTGGCGGAAAAACATTTGAAAATGATAAAAGTCACAATATTAAACAAAATGCGTCAGGATCTCTGTTTTTTTACGAAAGAAAATATTGTGTTCAGTCTAATGGTACGGGCGCTAGAGTGATAGCAGTAACGGAAGCTGATTGCAGCAACGCAAGAAATTTCACATTTGGTAAGTTAAATATTTAAAGGTTATTCTGCGAACTCGAGTCGTATATGAGCTGATAGTTTTATTATATACACAAACTTTGTCGCCCTTTCGGTGCATTTTGGTGTGCTATTATCAACTAAAACTTGGATTTCTATTTCACTCAACTCCTAAAATCTTTCAGCCATTTTGTTTACTTTCTCTACTAGACAGATATGAGCTAATACCTGTCTAGTAGCCAACCAATAAAATTGCAGCACACCTCATATCTGGCGCTTGTGTATATAATAAAAAGTAATAACTACTTGCTACCAAACGCATATTTACGTATATCCGAATATATCAGTTGCAGCATTTGGAGTGTAGACGTGCATGTCGGCAAACTGCTTTTTTTTGCAAAAGAATATGACTGTAGACCCATGACGTATTTCAATGCATTTTAATGTTTTTATGCATTTTAAACTTATTCATTATTACCATTATTGACAGGATCAGTGACTCAGTTCGGTGACAAAATGAAAGATGTTCATTGTTCTTCAAAACAACGTATGGTGATCCACAAAGCTAACTATGGTGATTTCAATAATGGCGGGAGCTTTAATACCAATGCAACTGTTGATATCAAATGTAGTCAACGAGCAAGTTGTGAGGTGAAACGTCTTTGTGGTGGTAACAGATCTTGTGAACTGATCGTTGACAATAATTTACTGTCATCACAACAATGTCCTGACAAAACAAAAGAACTTTTTATCGAGTACACTTGTGTGGATAATTATATGAATCCCATAACAACGGGTTAGTAATGCATTGTAGAGGGGAAGACATTTAAATGTAAAATTGAGCGCCTGTATGATTGTATATATATATATGCCACAATGCTTTGAATTTGTTACTTTGGAAGATGATGGATATTCTGCAAAATCAAACGTATAAATGTTTTGTGTTTTACGCCAAACGATAGTCTTTTACTGTACAAGGCTTTTCAAAAGATCAATAATATTCGAAATTATATGTACACAGTACTACATTACTAAAGAATTTTTGTGGTTTTAGCTCCCAACATAAGATTATCAAAGTCAGCGAGCGAAGGTTTCATTGAAATAAGAAATGTTTCCACTTGGAGAAAAGTTAAAGAGGAAATCTGGGATATCATTCGTGAAAATTCGCTGTGTCAGCACTTAGGATTTAATGGGACACTGGGGAATGTTGCTAAAACAAGGGGAATTAAGAGAGGTCAGGAAATTGCAAGTGGTAACCTTTGTTATGATGCATTTCGGCAGGATAAATGTTGTGTACATCTTTATCCCTCTACAACAACGTCAACCGTTGATGCGCCATATGTAACATGTGAGTAGGATTTTAGTGAAACTATTTTAGTTAATTTGCCGATCACTTTTTAAAACTCTGTTCCTTGTTTTAGGCAAGATATGCATGGATCCATTATTACAGAACAAAACTAAGTTTCCAGACGCGATATTTTCTGGAAGTGGCTCTGCTGACAATACCAAGTACAAAGAAGCGAGGTTTTCTAGCGATGGTTGGTGTCCAACAGAGTCTGGAGACAAATATCTTAAGATTGACCTTCAAAATGAATATCACATAACACGAGTTATGGTTATGGGTGATAAAAATCAAACAAAGTGGAGTGGATCATATTCATTGAAATACAGTCATGATGAAAGTTTGGTTGATGGCAGTAGTGAAGTACAGGTAGGTACGGGAATATCTCAATATACGAATGTATAGGAATGGGAAATATATAGATTAATGCCAATATCACAATAAGTGAAGTTGTCAAGAATAATACCAACCGCAGCAGCAATGCCATGCATATTTTTGCACTGACTTGGAACAGATGAGGAAATGTATTGGGGTAGAGAATAAAATTTATAAAATATACTATTTGTTAATGACAAAGCAACTGCAACAAGATCAGAAAGCAATCGTGGAACGTAATCTCAACTGAAGTAATTCATTTTTTTCTAAATTTCTTTTAGATAAATGGTAATCAAAACGGTTATCAAGCATCGGCCACAGACGTAGATATTCATAATGCCAGATACATAAAGTTAGAGTCAAATGAAAGCGCCGACTTTTGCCTTAGAATAAAAGTGTGCGGAGAAAGTGAGTTAGCAGAATCTTTAATCGCCGGAAACCTATTAATACAGAAATTACATCGGACAGCTTGATGTTCGGCAAAACATGTGTCACAAAACCAGTTGTTCTTTAATATAATAGATTTTGGAATATACAGTATCTTCAGTTTAAATTCCCTCATTTCAAGCAGGCTCACTTATTAAAGTTTAATTTAAACATGCGATGTATTTACTTTTCTTTCATTCCAGTCCAAAAGCCTGCTCCCGTACAAAGGATTGTCGCTGAACCATCGTTCTATTCTGTCAATCTGTCGTGGACAATACCAGTGGCTAAAAAGTCTTCTTATATTACACATTTCATCATTTACTTGAACGGTACAAAGAGAGAAAGAATATCTCGTGTACAACATGGAAATAATTTCATTCTTCGAGGTCTGAAACCTAACACTTATTATCAAGTTGGCATAATGTCACAGGATGGATATTCAAAAAAGGCCATTGCGGTCTACAAAAGTTATAAAACTAAAAGAGCAGGTAAGAATAAAGATGCCAAGTCTGAACCTGGTTGGGCTTATAATTATTGAGTGAGCCACTCTACCTGTTGCTTTTACTCCTACTTCTAAGCTTTAGTTTAAAGTCGGCTTTAGTACGTTTGTAGTAAATTCTGATTGTTGATTTAGCAACTGACCGCATGTCTTCATTTTGCCCTATTACGTCTTCTTGATTTGGTTTTGCACGCTAATAATAAAGGCTTAGTATACTGTCCTTTCTACTTCAACACTGCTATTTTGAAGGTTGTATTGCAGCAATATAACAATATTTTGCACAAGTGTATAAAGAACACCGTAATTACGGTAGTAATTTAACATAATATTTGCAACTAACTGCACTTCTAAAAATTATGTTCTAATTTTTTCTGTCGACACTAAAAGTGAGTTAAAATAAAATTTTGGAATATTCAATCGTGAATTATGATTAGGCATCCTTTCGATTTATTACTGCAGATTTAAGAGGTATTTTTGGCTTTTCTATCCACCCTTAAGAATAAAAATCTTAAGTTCTGTATTAAAGGGAATGTTAAAAACTCATTTTTGTTGTTCCGTTCTCCAGGTTTTTTTCTTAGACACACTCAGTCAGAAAAGTGTCTCGCAGCTGAAACTCCAACATTTCGAAATAATGAATATGGCACCCGTTATTGGATTGAAATGGTCACCAACTGCTTGAGTGATTTTGCGTTGTTCCGTTATCTGGATAACGAAGTGTTGCATAATATCGAGACAGAAGGGAACGTCGTGTCTGAATATGGTTTATACAGTAATCGCTTGTTTATATATGACGGTAAAAATAAGGTTGGAAGAAATTTTGCAAACAGCACGAAACATCGTATGAAACAAACAACAGGTGGATCTTTATATCTTTACAATGTGGATGATTGTGTTCAGCCTAGTGTGCAGTATGTTGACGTGAAAGGCACTTCATGCACCGGAGTAGCAGCACAAAAAATTACTTTCGGTAAGTAAAATTACTTTGCCATTGAACTTATAAATCGGGCCGTTTCTTCCTGTATAAGTGCAACACGCACTTTGTAAGCCCCATTTACACTACAGTCAATTTGTCGGCACGGCACGGCTAAAATGGGTACCTGTGCCCAATTTTACTAGTGCTCAGGGGCCGGTTGTATGAAAGCCGGATAGCGCTATCCACCGGATAGTGATTTTTTCAATCGCTTTAAAATCGCCCGTTGTTGGGTATAACTTTGATTAACACTTAGTATTCCTAAAGTGAGGGTCCTCTTTAACCAATGTTGACTACAAAGCTGAAATTTTATAGCTATTCAAGCATTTTTAGAAGGGTTGAAAAAATCACTATCCGGTGGATAGCGCTATCCGGCTTTCATACAACCGGCCCCAGGCTACCAAAACAAAGGCCGGGCACGGATGAAATGGGCACGGGTACCCATTTTAGCCGTGCCGTGCCAATAAATCGAGTCTATAGTGTAAACGGGGCTGTAGTCTGTAAGTTGTAACCAGAGGGGGCATCCTTTCAAACGCGCGACTGCTCGCCGTTATCTTGCTGTTTAGATTTAAAAATTTTTTGACGGGCTTCTAAAATAGCATCGTGTAAACTAGCACAGATTGCGGGGGGGGGGAAAGATTAAAGAGAGGGGACTAAAACCATGCAGTGTCTTTTTAGGGATTTCTTCGTTGCGTGGGGGGGGTTGACAAAAGGGGCCTTTTGTCCTGATTGAGAAGGAAAGGGGAAATTAAAAGAAAACAGATTGCGGGGGGAGATATAAAGAGAGGGGACTAAACCAGTGCCTTTTTAGGGATTTCTTCGTCGGGGGGGGGACTACTGGGACCTTTTGTCATGATTAAGAGGGAAAGGGGAAATAAAGAGAGAATATCTCATTCACTGAGGGGGGTGGGGCAAATATCCATCAATGGGAACGGAAGAGGGGCTAGGGGTTATAACTGGGGTACTAGTTATGAAGCCCTGGGCTAACTAATGGAGTATTCCTTTAACTAGTTTTATTCGTGCTCTTCATTTTTCCCATTCTCTTGATGTTCATGTTGAAAATTACGAAACACTATAGATAGGGAAAATAGCTAGTGTTAAACTGTATGTCATCTCTGTACAGGGAATATCCTGCTGGGCTGATCATGTCAGACGGAGCCTTTCATTTTTCATCGCCAGGCATATCGCATTACCCATAGCATTACTGGCTTGTTCGACATTAATTTATTGCGAAAAATCAGAGCACGTTCTATGGGCCGAGTGTCTCTTCTTTTTGTTTCCAATATGACATGAATGTGCATTTTTTATAAACGTCCCCATTGTTAGGTTCAGTGACTCAGTACGGCGACAAAATGAAAGATGTTCATTGTTCTCCAATACAACGTATGGTGATCCACAAAGCTCATTATGGAGATTTCATTGATGGTGCAACATTCAATGCCGGTGCAACGATTGATAAGAAATGTAGTCGACAAGCAAGTTGTGAAGTGAAATCCCTTTGTGGTGGAAACAGATCTTGTGAACTGACCATTGACAATAATTTACTGTCATCACCATATTGTCCTGATACCACAAAAGAACTGTATATCGAGTACACTTGTGTGGATAATTATATGAGTCCCATAACAACAGGTAAGTTATGATGCGTTATCGTTCAGTCTTTTTAGATTTTATATTACTATAAATAGCCCAATGATAGAAAAAATTTAATTTTGTGATGCCATGTACAAAAATCGCTCTTGTAGAAATCAACCTTAGGACTGTTTTTGACGTCGCTCAGGTTTCTTTCATTTGTTCGAAGTCGACTGATTCGGATCCACTTGATCCTGATCATTTAATCGAAAAATTTAGCCTCAAGGTGAACCGCGTTCCGCTAAAAATATTACTCGCACGAAATTCCTCGCAATTTCAGATGGAGGAATTTGGGATTTTTGATATATAAGCAAAATGATCGGATAATAACGCTAATTTGAAATGATATACATTGTTCTACAATTTTAGCTCCCAATATGAGATTATCAAAGTCACCGAACGAAGGTTTCATTGAAATAAATGATGGTTCCACTTGGAGAAAAGTGATAGAGGAAATCTGGGACATCAGTCTTGAAAAATCGCTGTGTCAGCACTTGGGATTTAAAGGGACCGTGGGGAGCATTGTTAAGACTGAGGTAATCGAGCCAGGTCGTGAAATTGCAAGTGGTGACTTATGTTATGACGTACCTCAAAACGAGAGATGTTGTGTCCACCTTAATCCCTCTACAACAACGACAACGGTTAAGGCGCCATATGTGAAATGTGAGTATATAAGATTTTATTGAAATAATTTTTTATATTTATTCAGCTTAAACACAAATCACAGGATAATCACGTGTCAGATCAAAAAACTGTTCTCGTTTTAGGCAAGATATGCGAGAATGCATTATTACAGAACCACACCAAGTTTCCAGACACGATATTATCTGGAAGTGGTTCTGCTGACAATACCAAGTACAAAGAAGCGAGGTTTTCTAGCGATGGTTGGTGTCCAACAGAGTCTGGACACAAATATCTTAAGATTGATCTTCAAAACGAATATCACATAACACGAGTTGTAGTTATGGGTGATAAGGCCCAAAAAAGTTGGGGTGAATCATATTCTTTGAAATACAGTCATAATGAAAGTTTGGTGGATGAGAATCGTGCAATAAAGGTAGTGATAATAGGCATTTTAAGGTTCACGTTTACGGCGAACCTTAAACGTGAAACTAAGATTCGTACTCGTCCTTAACAATTAGCTGTCTTGATGCTGGGGGATCTTGACCATGACAATTGAAGCATGAAATTTAAACTAAGCTTTGGAAATCCTGTATAGTGTTCATACTTTCTAAAGTGAATTAAAGTTTTCGGTTACTGGTTTGCCGTTAACGTCAAATCGTCAATCTTAAGATCTCAAACAGCGCCTGTACCAGAATATTTTCAGAGATGAAATTCGTGTTAAAATCTTTTGAACTCTATTGTATGCTACAAATATTCCACTTTCAGGTGATAGGAAATCAAAACAGTCATCAAGCATCGACTACAGACGTTGATATATACAATACGAGATATATAATGATAACACCAAATATAACAACACGCTTTTGTCTGAGAATAGATCTCTGCGGTGAAGGTAAGGTTTCACTACTGTTTTTATAAATCCTACCGAAAAAACAATAGATCAGAATCTTAATCTTGGATTTTTCTTTAAATTCAATGTATATAATTGCAGTGCTCTGTTTCTTTAGCCCAAACTCCAGCTAAAGTAACGAAGTTTATGATCAAACCATCTGATTATTCTGCCCATCTGTCTTGGAACATACCAGGTCCTAATGAATCTTCGTACATAACACATTATGGTATTTATTTAAACGGGACCGAAGTGCGAAAAATATCTCGTGCAATGTATGGTAGTCAGTATACGCTTCGAGGGCTTAAACCATACAAGAACTATACTGTTGGTATACAGACACAGGATGGTAATTCTCAGAATTCCTTGGTGGAATACAAAACCTTCACGACCAAAGAAGCTGGTAAGCATATAGCGGAAAAAAGTGTTGTTTTGAAATTATTGAGATATCTCGGCGTGGTTTTATAAAGAAAAAGTATAGAACGGCATGATTTCTCAACTAAACGCTTATATATTCCCCCCCCCCTTTTGGGATGTACAATCACCACAAATGTGTACATTGCGTAACATTGGAAAATTCATATTGAAAAACCAAACGCTGATTTCTCAACAGAAAACATCCAGCGTTCCATATTAAGTTCATATCCAATAGCCTGTTCAGTGGCGTAGCCAGCCTGACGATTTTGTCCCGCTATGTAAATTTCGAGTTATTATAATTATTCATGTCTTTAGAAATCTACTGTTTTCACAATCAGTGAACATGAAAATATTAGCATAGCGGGACAAATCGACAGGCTGGCTACGCTACTGGGCCTGTTCATATCCAAACACTGTTCCTTGTTTTAGGCAAGATATGCGAGAATGCATTATTACAGAACCACACCAAGTTTCCAGACGAGATATTTTCTGGAAGTGGTTCTAGTGACAATACTAAGTACAAAGAAGCGAGGTTTTCTAGCGATGGTTGGTGTCCAACCGAGTCTGGAGACAAATATCTTAAGATCGACCTTCAAAGCGAATATCACATAACACGAGTTGTAGTTATGGGTGATAAAGATCAAACAAAGTGGAGTGGATCATATTCATTGAAATACAGTCATGATGAAAGTTTGGTAGACGGTGGTAGTAGTTTACAGGTTAGTAGATACGTGAGTATCCTTGATGCGTGATCAATATTCTGCTGTAATCAACCTTAGTTTTAGGACTGCAATTATAATTTCTTTGCAAAAGTGCTGACTCGGGCGTGGGTAGGGGTTTGCTGCCTTAAGCGATATTCTTTACGTTTATCGTATGAAATGAGAAAATGTGTTTCTTCCTAAATCCTCTTTTAGATAACAGGAAACCTTTACGGCTTTCAAGCATCGACTACAGCCGTTGATATTTATAATGTGAGATATATCAAGATACACTCAACTGAAAACACAGACTTTTGTCTCAGAATAGAGCTCTGTGGAGAAGGTGCGGCTTTTTTACAAGTTACTTGTCATTTAAATTTGTCATTTCAAAATTTCATCAAATTGAATTAACTCCATCTTTCTCCCAGTGCAATATCCGGCTCCTGTTCAAAACGTTGTCGCTAAACCATCAAATTTCTCTGTTCATCTGTCATGGACAATACCATCGCCTGAGGCATCCACTTTTATCACACATTATATCATTTACTTAAACGGTACCGAGGTCAAAAGAATATCGCGCGCATATTATGCAAATCAATACATTCTTCGAGAGCTCACACCAAACACTAATTATGTTGTTGGCATAAAGACACAGGATGGTCAACTAAAGAATACTCAGACAATAGTTTACCACAAGTTCAAGACCAAAGAAGCTGGTATGCATAACATGGGAAGGCTTCTGATTTTTTTCTGAATAATTCAAATTCAAATAATTGTTTTTATTCTTTACTATCATAGTTCCAAGTGGAGCTCCACGCAGTGTTATGATTAAATCTCGTAGTAAAAACTCGCTCGAAATTTCTTGGAGAGCTCTTGATAAGATATTTTGGAATGGTGAATTGGTGGGATACCAGATTTGTTTTTCTATAAAGAAAAATGATGAAAGTCCGAAATGTTCGAACACAAAAGTTTTGTCCACCTTATCATACGTTATTTCAAATCTTATTCCTTCAACAAAATACTTTGTGACAGTCTCGGCTGGTACAAAAATTGGTTTTGGAAACAAAAGCTCAGAAATAAGTGAAATAACAAATGGAGGTATACAGAAAATAAAAAAGGACTTTTTAAAGAAGCGTACAGCATGGCAGAAGAACTGCCGAATATGCACTATTTGATCACGTGTAAAAATTGTTAATTTTTTACTCCAAAGTGAAATTAACATGTGTTATTTTATGATATAGAGCCTGTGAACCCTGTTTTGATGTCCCACTTTGATCTTGGTTTAACGATACCTAAGGCAGCGCCCTATATAAGGTGCGTGTATATTTCAGGCGTAACATTTTGTCGAAGCTAGTGTGTGAACATCAGTCATGTTTTCTCTATTCAGAGAAGTTTTGATTATTGTTCAAAGAGCCACGTCAAGTAGTCAAACACCAAGTGAAAACATAAAAACAAGTAAACTCGGACCATACCAATCAAACACTAAAGATTTTTATATCACTGCATATCTGAGAGCAGACGTTCTCCCTTTGTCGTTCGTGATCGGTGATGGCAAAAAATACAACTATGAAAACGTAACATACGTTAATCAACCTCTTCAACCAAACACAAGTTACAACGTGTTCCTGAGATTCTTTGAAAGCCAGGTAAATGAATGAATGTGATATAGCATGTATAAATAATAAATTTGTTTTCATTGGATCCTATAGAGTTAACTACATGTCTTTCGTCTAGAATTCCTACTACTCCACAGGATGGAGCAAAAGTATAAAGACGAAGCTAACCCCAGGTGAAAAATTATGAATTGTTAAAATAATTCATTGCAACTGTCAGTTTAAGTGTATAAATCTAGACGCTTTAAGGGGTCTTAATTTCGAGTGGAATTATACACACTTCAAATTGAAGCCAGGAACAGTTGATGGAAAAATGAGTCAACTATAGGTCCTATGTATGTTTACGTGTATAATCATATCAAATCAGATGTATCGGATACTTAGTCTAAATCAGCCCTAAAACTATTGGATTTTGTTCACTATTTGATTCACTAATCTGTTTCTCGTTCAAAAAAGGACCCAGTGGACCTCCACTGGATGTTTCTTTGAAATCTCGTGGTAAATACACATTGGAAGTATCGTGGGAGGCTCCTGAAGAAAGTTCAACAACTGGAGAATTAACTGGATATCAAGTTTGCTTTCATACCAACGAGACTCCTTTAGAATGCATTGTGCTGAAAAACACGAAGGTGCTTGCACTTACTCTGAAAAAGCTTCAGCCTTCTACGAAGTATTTTGTGACTGTCGCAGCGAGCACAAAAGCTGGTTACGGAGAGAAAAGCTCGGTAGTCAGTAAGATAACCAATGGAGGTAAGAAGGACTACAGTATATAGTTCACATGCATTATCATCAAGCAAGTTTTAGTGTAATTTAACTTAAATGCATATATATTTTGAATCTAATTTTGATGCTATCATTTTATTGTTTCTAGAGCCATTGAATCCTCTCTCAACTTCCTATTACACTCTCACGTTAAACATCCCCAAAGCAGCAAACTATATTCGGTAGGTATTTTATAAAACTTGCAAAATATATTCAGAATTGAACTTGCAAATCCTCAGAAGCAAGACTATGTACATGTACAGGCGTCGAGTCAACGTCAATTGAAAGCAAGTTACAATAAGTAAAGAAACTTTATATGATGCGTCTAGTATTTGAGTCTGCAGACCGAACCAGAAGGCTATATATCCTGCTGACACATACAGCAATTATCCGTTTGAGACTTATCGTTTGTACAACTCTATAGGATCCCTGTAATGAATAATACCTTAATTATGACCAAATATTTTCCATAAATTTAGGCAAGTGATGGTGATCGTTCAAAAAGCCACGGGCAGCTCACTGCAAAGCGAAAATATTGAAACAAGTAAACTCAAGGCATATCAGACGAACACCCAAGATCCTTATGTCACTGCTTATTTAAGTACTGATGATCTTCCTTTACCGTTTGTGATCGGCGATGGCAAAGAATATAATTTTAAAACAGGGAAATACTTGAACCAACCTTTGACAACCAATTCGAGTTATATCGTGTTTTTGAGATATTTTGAGAGTCAGGTAAATGAGTAAGAAAATAAATATTATATTAATGATTTGAAATAAGGTGTTTTAAAATTGAATCACTAAAAATGTGTACATGTATGTACATATTTGCCCAAGTAATAACAGGCAGATCTAGAATTTGTACTAAATAATTAATTTCCATGCAGAATTAATACTCCGGTGAATAATTTTAATACTTCTGTTAAGGATTCGTACTACTCGACGGAATGGAGCAGTAGTTTTAAAACTATAGCCAAAGCACCTGCAGGTGAATATCTTGTATTTATTAATTCTCAGTTATTCTTTTGTTTCATTGTTCTCTGCACCACAGATTAACGTGCGAGCCAGATAAAGATTCTTAAATTATTTTTGTAGTTTGTTTGAAAAGTAACATTTGTAAAAAATCCGTGGATTTTCTTATACCGCTGATTATTCTGGCTTTATGTTTTCTGGTTTCACTTGGTGTTATTGTGTACCAACGTCGTCTTCTTCAAAATAAAGATGTGAATCATGGATATGGAACCTCAAAGCAGACGAAGGAAATGAAAGAGTTTGGTAAGTTTTGTCATTTACTTGGTTACTTCAGCATATTGATTAAGTTCAGAGATTAATAAAGAAATATTTTTTGTTGATATGCAGGGGAATATATGTTAAGGAAAGCAGGGGCGGCGGAACAGGGAGGCTAAGGAGACTTTAGCCGCCCCCCCAGAAGTAAAAGTGGGGGTGCAAATGCTAATAAGATATCCTATATTGTTATACGGATCAAGTGAATGTAAATTGACTTTCTTTGATCTTTCATAGTTGTCTTTAACAACAGAATATTCGTGGTTGTATATTGTTATTATTTCGCACCGTTTTTTTTTGGGAAATTATTTTGAGAATTTGAGAGATGATTTTTCAAGATGTCACTACACGCGCTGTGCCGTTTCAGTTTGATTTTGCCCACGAAAAACTACGATTGAAGCGGCAAGTAAGACTCTGAAATGGCCATTTCCAAAGATCTACAGCATTGAAATTAAAAAAAAATTCGTTCGGCGCCAACCATGGTGGCGCCTCGTGAAATTAGCAGGAGGAAACTAAAGGAAAGTTTGGTAAAGAAAAATTTAAAAACATTATAGGCAATGGAAAAGTAATAGGGGGTTATAGATAGATTATAAACGTGTAAAACTTAAAAAAAACTTATTGTACAAATTATTGCTAAATTCTTATGTAACTTCATAGATTCTATTTCAAAAGATCCGAGAAAAAACAAAAGTGCAAAGTATGATCAAAGAACTCAAAATGATGAGACTGTTTACGAGACTCCAGATGATGTTATTGAAGAAATTGAGCGAAACGAGGGTGCACGTTCACTTGGAACAGAAAAAGAACAAGAATCTTTGAACTACATGTCGTTACAAGACAAAAAAGAACCAGCAAACGTTTATCAGGCATTGCAACCCCCCGTCACTAATGATAATCAACGTCATACTAAGAAGGGTGGTCAGTCAGTGGAATATCAAAATCCTGCTTTCAATGCAGATTTCAGTGGTGAATAGTTATTCGTGAAAAAAATTCTTCAAATATTATAATATAGACATAGTCATACATGCATTGGCATGCATTGTCTCTTAGCAGTACATACATATATAAACAAATTCTCCTAACATAATTTCAGTAATGTACACTATATTTGTCGGGTTTAATTTGACTATGTATACAAATACAAATATTCACTTTGTGACAAACAAATTAGAAGTTTCATTGTACTAGTGCGCTTAATAACCATATCAATTTTAATTGATTTTTTTATACATCTGATAACCCCTTCATGTAAACCTGTAAGACGACTCGCTCGCACTAATATAAGGTACAGCGGCATATCGAGGAAAAATATTCTTTTGGAATCGCTAATGATAATGAAATCGAATGAGGATCGAATATCTTCCTATTGACGAACGTATGCAAGGTAAAGTTTTCCAAGAAAGTTTTCCTTCCGGGAAGGACTTGTTTATATCGACATGTCGCTATATTCTTCTGCTTGCAGATAATTATGCATGGCTTTGTTGACAAAAATAGGACGACGTGAGTTCTTTCGATTTATTCACATAGCTTTTTCAAATATGATATATATAAGGATTTAAACTTTTACGTATAGGAGTTTATCAAACGCTTTCCGTTTGTTTGATGTCGGGTAACAAAGATCATGTCAATAGACCAATACAATAGGGAGAAAGACATTGTCGTTGCATTTTTGTTCTTTGAATGATTTCAAAGAATAATTAACATTCCGTAACAAAACAAACTAAGAATGGCATAGTTTATATATTGTCATGTTAATTTTAATCTATTAACACGACAAAATAAACTATGCCATTCTTAGCTTGTTTTTTTACGGAATGTTAATGACATCTTAAATGTGTGTTGAATAAAATTTTATTCAAAACTTAAATTTTAATTTATTTAAGCCTTGAATAAAATTTTAATTAACACACGTTTAAGATGTCATTCCTTTTGGAAAATCATGAAATGCGGAAGTGTAGAGCAAGAATCTTTCGTGTAAGCTTTTACTTTCTTGGTAAAAGACAAGATGTCTTGGTTATGTCATTCGATGGTTAGTTTTATGTTGTGTCTCACTGTTGGTGATTAAAGGTGAGAGGCCGAACCGTATTAAACTATATAGAATTGATTCGGAGTGTGTGATCGACAATGATAACTATTTATATTTATGGTGTGTACTGTAATACAGACTATAAATACAGTAATAGGTTTTTCTACAATTCTACTGCGGACTGCGGACTACAATTCTACTGCATTCTTTTCAGTACAACATAAATAATTTCCCTGCCATGGACAATCGTCTCAATATTCCCGTTGCATGCAACGTTCTATAAACGCGTTCGTCTGACATATTCGCGTCTACATAATTATACAGGGTGTATCAAAAAAAGGTTATCCAACTTTGGTGCGCTATTGTACGTGAACTACTCATTCTATTAACGAATTTTTTTCACATTGCGAAAGGTTAGCCTTTTAACTATCGAATGACATTTTTTTAATACGAAATGGTGGGAAAATGAGCAAATAGGAGGCTGATAAAAAGTGTTAGTAAAAATCGCATATTTTCACCTCTGAGAGTTGAGACTAAAACTATTGAAAATTAACTCTCTTTGGGACTGAGTTGAAGAATTTTGCTTTTGAATAAACTACCCGCATATGCATATTAAATAATAAATCACATCAGGAGAACATTTTAAACAATGCGGCATAAAACCAGCGCAAGCTGTGACATGTTCGTGATTAATTGTTTTTTTCTTTTGTTATGTACTGCTTTAACTAGGCTCAAAGGTGAAAATATGCGATTGCAATAACATTTTTTATCAGCCTCGTATGTGCTCACTTTTTCACCATTTGGTATTAAAAACATGTCATCCGATAGTTAAAAGCCTGATCTTTCCGAATGTGAAAAAAATTCGTTCATAGACTGAGTAGTTCACGTACAATATATTTTTTATACACGCTGTAGAAATACCTCAGATGAATGAAATAGTTCACATGCATCAATGCAAACCACAGCTCGTTTGTTTAAATTTGACTGAATTGTTATCTAGAACTGATGTCTATTTAAACGAAATATTATCGATATTAAATGCATGTATCATATAGGAAAAGTTTGAGGTTGATAGAGTCACTTGATAGAGAATAGCCTCTTAAGGTGGATTTCCACTTACAGCGAAATCGTGCGCTAGCGAAATATTTGCATATTTTCTTTTGAATTGAGAACAGTCAAGCCGCACTAATTTATTTACGCTGTTTAAATTCAAAAGAAAATATGCAAATATTTCGCTACCGAACGATTTCGCTGTAAGTGGAACTCCGCCTTTATAGACGAGCAAGTTTTGTTTGACAAATTTTTATATGATAAGTTTTAATTGGCAATTGCACATGTGTTTGTACAACAAATTTTATATCACAAGTTTTATTTGACAAGTTTTATTTTCTCGCGTGAACGTGCCAACAAGTTTAGTTTTGCAATTTAGTTTGAAGCCAGCGATGTAATCGTACAGCGGACAACGTGAGCGCGCCATTGCAAAATACTATACTCCGCTGGCCAACCGCGCTCACATTATGCGAAAAAGTTTTCTTTGTTGACTCCTACCACAGTAATTAGAATATACATGGTTTGGAGACTAGATGGAAGTACAATACAACTCATTATCTATGTTATTGTCCAGGTTTATGCAAAAAATGGTTCCTTATCCGTCACATGTCTATTGTATTTTAGTCCAACTAACCAATAGCAATGGCTTGGCTTAGCTCCTCAACCGTGACTTGAAGAACATGTTAATTCAGACCTTACTATTGGTTTATTTGTTCAAAGTACAATAGACACGTGACGAATAAGGGACAACTTTTTGCATAAATGTTCCCCGACATAGATAATGAGTTCTATTGTACTTTTATGTGGTCTCCAAACCATGTATATTCTATTAACTGTGCTCCTACAGACGAGGGCGACATACAGGGTGATTAAGAACTGACAACATTGTCTGCACTTTGCATAAAATAGATTTCAACACCGGCTTGAACTATTTCTTAAAATTAAAGTATTTTATTTTATACAGACATAAGCGGAAGTATACGACTTATTCAGCAATGCGTGTCAGTTAGAGAGACAGTCAAAATGTCGTGGTTATTTCATCGATGGCTGCTTTTCTTTTGTATATCCATTACAATGATTAACGGTAAGGCATTTTTGTACGTATCATCAGATATACAACTAGTGAAATGGTGCTTTGTTAAAATAATATACAAGACCTGAACTCGTACCGAATTATAAAAGAACTTATTGCTTTCTTATACCAATGGTTGAAATCTTAAAATAAACTGTTTGAAACACTTGCATGATGTGGTTTTGACAATTTGAAAATCCACGAAGGTTACTTAAGTAAACTTGATAATTAAGGGGAAAGGGACAGGACATACGGTGATACAGCTGTAACGGGCATGAAACCATAACACGCTTAGTAAACTTACATTTGATATTTACGCGCTTCGTTAATGTCAATTCAAGTAGTTTACATCTAAGATGAGTCTGGTAAATCAGATGACGTATGACTACAAGGCAAATATCAGAAAACTTTCGCATTGTCATCTCTGTCAGATATTTAACTTTAAATGACAATTCTGAAACATTCACGGATCATAATTTTTAATCAAATTTTTGGCAGCTCAGAATTAGGACATTTCCAGCGCAAAAATTTTAAGAAATTATTTTTTTGCAATGTTCCCGTCTCACTGAGTATGATTTTGTCGAGATTCATTTTCTCGTATATAGCCTATAGTTATGCCATGTCACACTCACATGGGAAAGAGACTGAAAAAAGCCCAAAAAAGCTGTGACACTGTAATAATATGTGCCTTTGTTAAATACAAAAGTTACTTGGGTTAAAAATAGAGTTAATTATTGCTAAGGATCAAGGTTTACAATAGGGTTAAAACGAAATTCGGAATATCAAGTATGGATTGTTTATAGCCTATATAAACTAATATATAATACAGGGTTACGTTTGTAGTAAATTTCGATTTATTATGCTCAAGAATGAAGATCCTAGATTCGTAGGATCTTTACCAAGCGGAATGCTAAAAATATTGGGTTTTTTTCTTGCACGTTGTTAAGGGTTCTTTCTCAGACACACTCAGTCAGAAAAGTGTCTCGCAGCTAAAACTTCAACCTTTCGAAATGATAACTTTGCCATCCGTTATTGGATTGAAATAGTCACCAACTGCTTGAGTGATTTTGCGCTGTTCCGTTATCTGGATAACGAAGTATTGCATAATATCGAGACAGAAGGGAACGTCGTGTCTGATTATGGTTCATACAACAATCGTTTGCTTGTGTATGACGGGAAGAATCAGTTTGGAAGAGATTGGGCGAACAGCACGAAACATCGTATAAAACAAACAGCCGGCGGATCTCTATTTCTTTACAATGTGGATCATTGTGTTCAGCCTAATGCGCAGTATGTTGACGTGAAAGATACTTCATGTAGCGACGTGGCAGCACAAAAAGTTACCTTCGGTAAGTAAAAATATTTTATACTTCATTTTTTTTACTTTTTTAATTTAGATCGATCTTTTGACTTGAAACTTGTTAAATGCATCTTTGGTAAAGTTACTTCGCCATGGAATGTATAAATTGTGTCGTTTCTTTTTAATTTAGTCATGCTATGCCAATTTTATGTTATTATCATTATTCATTTCTTTCGAAATTCATTGTTTTTATAGTCGATGAACACCAAAATATTAGCATAGCATGACTAAATTGTCGGGCTGGCTACGCCACTAATAATTATGTAACTCTATAGTCCGTAAATTGTAATCTGGGGGATGCATACATGTATAACCTTTTAACCGACTGGTCACTGTAATCTTGTCGTTTGCGTGCCGTCTAAAATAACAAATCTGATAACTGAAAGTGTGAGTATTTGTTTTGAGGGTAGGTGGGCGTGATTTTGATATTTGTAGACAGTTGTTTAAGAGGACGAAAGACTAGAATATCGAAATATTTAGGACTATACTCGGTAAGGAGCATTAATGGATTATCCTTTTTAACTTGTACAATTTGTTAGCAATTTCCCTATTCCCTTGATGTTATGATCATTACGACGTTAGTTCACACATTATAGATAGAG